CCCTTTTTATAGCTTCAAATAAAAATGGACAGTTAAAAATATAAAACTTCTTTTTCCAATAGAGTATTAAGCAAAAAAGAAAATAAACACGAATTTTTCAAACTTTTATGGGAGTTCTTCTTGATTTTTTTATGTGCTTTTCATGTGGGTTCATATTTGAAAAGTATTTGACATTTTGTTGCCTGTTGCCGCCTGCAATTGAAATCAATAAAAGTCAGCCCGAGTACATTTTCTCCTCATTCGTACCCGGATAAAACGGGCTTCAAGGAATATGACGAAAATGCTAAAGACGATGGCTGGAAATTTTCATTCCGCATTTATGATTTTCACACTCTTTCGAAGTCATTTGCAGCGCCATCACGTGCCGACAATCACGCAAAATCATTGCGCCGTCATTTATTAGCAGGACAAAGGGCGGAAAATGGGAAAACGTCTTATGGAGTTGCCACTTCCGCTTTTCCTTGACGCAGGTCCAATGTCACTGCCTTGGAATTTCCCCCCTTATCCACTTGGTTAGGTCACCAAATTGTTTTGGGCCTGCGTTAGATGAAGATATGAAATTTGAAGAGCTCAATTTATCATTTCCAGAGAAGAAAGGCACTTGCAAAAAAAATCATTTCCCGAATATATATTCTCGACTTAAAAGTAGTTTATTCTACTCCTTGGACGTTCTTTTAGATAATACATATTCAAAATTTTTTTTAATACATATTAATAATGCAAAAAAAAATGTATCAAAAAATGCATTTACTTATGTTGTTATTTCATTAAGTACAAACTTAACCATATTGGTTTACCATTTCTCTTTTAGTGTATTTACGGAATCTGGCAGCTTCTTTCAAGTATTTTAATAAAGATTTCAGGCCGAATTGGTGGCCTTCCAGGCACATTTAAGAGCAACAAGTCGAACTTTCCAAATTGACAATAAATAAATGGCACCTGATTCGGGTTTGGTGACCTCTGAACCATTGAACATTGAACTCAAGCCTTGTCATTCAATTTAGATTAACGGCCGGCGAGAAAAATTCATAGCCTTGTTTATATTGCTTGTAGCCAAACATTTTTCTTGTTGACATTTTTCGCCATTTATTTACTCTCGGGACCAATAGACCATCGACCATCTATCTTAATCAATGCATCAATACCCATTTATCCTTTTGATTTGGTGGAGTCATATAGATACATATTTGTGAACAACATTTTGGCCATAAAGTTGATGTTTACATTGGTGCCTTCGCAATCCATCTTTATTTATATTATTTTATTAATTGGTACATACCTTTATCATATGTCATTGAACGTGGCAACTGACTTGGAATAATTGCCCAACGAAATATTGATTGTTTATTTAGAGACAAAATAAGTATTCGCATTACGTTATTTCAATAAATTACAAAATAACAATTTCTGCGCGCTTCAACGATTGCATTAAATTAAGAATAATATTTAGGCAATCTGTTGGCGATTTTGTGTAGGTAAATAAATTTAGCATAATAATACATGATTAGCACTCCTTTTTTAATTCGCAAGCCTTCTTGTCATCATTATTAGCATTATGCTAATTTGTCATAATTAATTTCTTGCGGACTTTAAATTCCTGTGCTGAATAAATTTGTACATAAGTAATTATTATAAGTAATTACTGCAATTCTAGATTTTCAATTGGAAAGTATGCGGATTGATTCCTTAAAAATATAATTGTTTAAATTTGTAATTTGAATATTGGTTAATTTTTTGACCCATAAATACAATCTGACCATTCAAATGGTTTTTAAATCCTGCAATTTGTCACAGTAATTATTTTTTTTCATTCGTTCAGGCACTGTTCCGTTGAAAATCCGCTTAAACGTAATAAAAATAAATTTAAATTGAAATACGCTTTTTGTAGACAGACTTAAACAGACAGCCATGTAAACGAAGACAAAACTTGGGCATTGGTACACTGAGAATATAAATTGTCGCCACCAAATGTTAGCTAATATATTATTTAAAGCTATGAGTTTATTTAGGTAAAGAACAATTTTCACAACTTTGAAGAGCCACAAAAGAGTATTAGCAAATATAGAATAAAATGTAAATTTTCTATTGCAAATAGTGTTCGAGAATTATTTGTTTTAGCTTGTATATATTTTTCTCCAAGTGTATAAAGTTGGGGACAACTCAATCGCCTGGGGATTGGGGTCTGATTTGGGTGTTCCGTGTCTGATTGACCGTATCGCCCAATTTCTGTTCTGGGACCATGGGGTCTCGCATTCAAGGGTCACGCTTTAGCTTCTGTCTGTTCTATTCTAATTAAACCATTTTGAAGTTGATTGCGTTTTCAGTGCGAGGCTTCTGGCTGCTGCTTTCCACCGATAAATCAAATTTAAATGTTTGAGTGCTACTCAAATTGACTACTGCCCACTCTCTCCGCCCCAAAAAAACAAAAGTAAAGCCGAAAGCCGAAAACTGAAAACCGAAAACCCCGAATCGAACACACGCCGCGGCAAAATGTCGAAGGCCACGCGGGGAATCCGCATTGGAATTGGTATCTGTATTCGTGTTTCATGCCCCAGCCTGTTGTGCTTTGTGCGTACTTTTAATGTTATTTAAATACATAATAAATCCGTTATTTAAATTCTTTTCCGGTGGCCTCGAGGGAGAGGGAGATGCCCCAAGTAAATCCAGCCAACTCGATTCGTGTTAAAGGCAAATTACAAATAAGTTATCATTTGAGTCACGGAGTCTAATTTAATTAGATTGTTAAGTCAAACGAAACTCTGTTAAATTAAACTAAAATCTAAGATAAAGCTGACCTAAAAATAATAAAAAGGAAGTTGCTTAATTATTATTCGAAGCAAACAATAATATAATAATAATTGTTGTATTGAAATAAAAACTATTTTCTGAGATAAGCAATAATTGTAGATAAGCTTTTCTCATTTCCTTAATTAGTGATTTTCCGTTAAGATTCCCAATCGCATTAAAGTTCCTGAACAGGCAAACCCCAAAACGATTCGTGACCTTGTTGCCTCGAATCAATTTGACGAAAAGGGACTGAAAAGAGGGGGTGTATATCATAATTGAGCCACTCGATTGGGTTGGCTTCCGTTCCATTGTAGTTCCTGTAGTCAGCAGAACTTTTCCCCAGTTTACCCCCCCCCCAATTTTCCCCGGACTTTTCCCCGTACTTTCATCATTTCCCTGGTGGGTCTATCCGTCAGCTCACACGATGAGTACTTAGCAGGGAAAAAAAAAGAAGCGATTTGAATTTTTCGGCAGCATCTGCCTTAACCCCTAACAACCAATATCCGTCGCTATACCCGAAAGAGACGGCTATAGTGCGTTGGAAAGAGAGAGAGAGAGAGAGAGAGGAGAGCAGCCTGTCAATTTTCATTTTCATCGCGAGTGCGCCAAAAGAGAAATTTAAATGAGGCAATCTTTCCCTTTCTTTTTTTTCTGTGTGTATTTGCTGGCAATTCCTTTTGTTGTTTACCAGGCTTAAAGGCGTACGTGTGTGTGCTGGCTCTTTTGCTAATTACGTGCTGCTTACCAAGGATGAAAAGAGGTGGCGGAGGGGTGACTGCCAAAGATTATGACCGAATTCAATCCGAAATCGAATCAAATCGCTGCAAATCGTCGTCGCTTGCTATTAATAGACGCTCATTATTGGCATTTTTGGCATTGGCCAAAGTCAGACTCACACGTGTGAGGGTGCTTTTCTATTTTTTCCGACTATTGGCACATCTTCGGCGCCAGCAAAATCGGAAAAGTCTCAGCGATGTGAAGTCATTCAAATATTGGGGAAATTGTATTAAAAGTATATATATATAGAAAGAAAAATTAATTCAGCATCTTAAAGTCTTAAATTAAAGGAAAAATGTATTAACCTATTTTGTACTCCTCGAATAAGTAAATATTTTTGATTTTTACATGATTAAATAAATAAATAAGTTACATTTTTTTTTCCTAATTAAGCATTTCTTATCTTTTATCTCCTAAATGGAGGAAATCTCTATTCTTGTGCTTTTTAGCTTGATAAATTGGCAAAGCTTTAAGCAAATGTTATCGCCATGAATTAGGACATTTTTTAACTTCTAGGCGCCAAGTTGTCAGGATCTCATCGCTGGTCCTTGAATCCTCGAATTAAGCCGGCGTCTTGTTGCCCACACACGAATAGGATTCCTTTCCCTTTTGTGATTCTGATGGGTCTAATGCTTAATAACAATTTCATTTACATTTTCGGCACATTTCACATCGACTTTGGCCCAAGCGGCGTATGCGCAATGTCCCGAAACCGAAAGGTATTTTTATTTTTTTTGTTTTATTTTGTTTTTGTTCGCAGCCATTGTTCTGCGACCTAGAAAGGGTTTTACTTATACACCCGCTGTTATATATACATATATATTATACGATTTTTCCGGCTCTCCCATCCCAGCCTACTTTTGAATTCAATTCAATTAATTGAGACATTTTCGTTTTGGTGGGGTTTTTGTTTCGTTTCGTTTTATTTGGGCCTGGGATTTACCACGCCCCCCGCCCTGCCGCCCTGCCGCCTCCCCCACCACGACCACGCCCCCAAGGATATTGGCTTTGTCCTGACTGCAGCGTAATTATAATGCACAAAGGCTAATTAAAGCGCAAACGGGGGAATAAAGGTGAACATTGTGATGGGTTTCGAACTGAAGTTAAAAATACAAAGTAACAATACATACTTTTTTTCCCGATACAGTGTCCTTTATTTACCAATAGGGTTACTTCAAAGTACCACAAAACTGCAGGTTTAAATGGGAGTTAAATGAAATTCCACAGTGTCCCTTTTAATACAAAATTATTAGTTATTAGTACAAAAATATAAACAATAGTTTTTTCATCTAAGGTTTAATTTAGCAATGCACTGATCTATCATCACTTAAAAACACACAATATTAGTAGAAATAAATAGAATTCTTCAGAACATAATTCGTTTAAGTTTTTATATTTAATTAAAACGTAGTTACCATTTGTGCCCATATCGAGATTATAATGAATGTTTTCTCTAATCGCCAGTACATAATAAGTCTGGCAAATAAATATGAATAGGAATTGCTTTAATTGATGGTAGTTGTATCCTCTCTAGAAGGTTTTTTGCACTACTTCAACGACCACCTCCCATATAATATGCACTATTCCGAATGTTTTAACCTCGATCTTGTAGAGGCCGTCGGATAGATAATTTGGAAATCCATCGGTGCTCACTCGGCACTTTTCGTAATGAAATTCCCGTGCGTGAATTATATCCAGGGTGCCCTTGAATTGCGGCAAATCGGAACAGTTGGCGGCGGATTTCATGATGATGTCCTTGTAGAAAGTGTTCAGCGCATCGTAGACTTTCCGGCGCGGTACGGAAAAGGGTTCCAGTTTATAGGTGCCCCCGCCATCGGTGCTGCGATAGATGTTCACCTCGGCCTCAAGATCCCTGGGTACGTCCGTGTTGAAGTACAGGGTACCAGTTAGTCCGAACTCCCCGCGACTGATGCGATCGAGGCGAGTTGTACCGCCGGCTATCGACTCATCGCTGGTCGACATTTGAACCGATCTCATCATATATGTCCAGGTTTTCTGTTTGAATATTTCATATCAGTTTAAATTTAATAATACGAAATATTCTAAAAACTACTCACTTGATTTGGGACGAGGTTTCCCAATGCCAAATAACTAGAAACCAGGAGTATGAATATGGGCAGCATTCTCATTGATGGTTCTGCCTGCTCTTAATGTTTTCAAATGGGTTACCTATTTATATGCATATTTTTTGGACAATTCTAAACTATAAAATCAGTGTTAACCCGTTTCCGCAATTGCCGTAATAGTTATAGCAATTCAGTAGTCAGTGTATTCATGACACGAGCAGCCTTATCGATCGTAGATAATTATAAACGGTCGTATTAAATTAATTAAAAGCGAAACATCGAAACAGATTTTGATCTAAAGATAAAACTGATTTTTATTTATTATCTTCGTGTTTCTTTGATTCGTTTTTTATTTATGTAACAGACACTGTTCCATAACTACTAGGGTTGTCAAAAATTTTAAAAATATCGTATCGATGATATTTTTTTTATCAAAAAAAAAAAATGATAATATTTAAAATATCAGATAAAAATGTCGATATATTTGATATTTTTTGTGTTAAATGAAAAAATTGACCGCCCACAATAAAAAGACAAAAAGTTTCTGTTTAAAAACAATAGCATTTTATTATATATATTTTATGCCCAGTGTGCAGGGTTTAGGGATTTTAATAATACCCTTTGCGTTATGTGTGCGTCAGTCATCCTGCTTCTTGAGTCGCACACAACACATTTGATGGCGGACGCCGTTTTTTATATCCGTATACTTTGATTTTACACTCAATTTTTTATTTTGCGCCTGAATTCTTTCACTCGATGTCACTTTGGAATTCAGAGTGACCAAAGACAAAAACATCAAAAAATAAAAAATTACGATATAAATATATTATATTTAGAAAAAATATCGATATATTGATATTTTGATATATTATCAACAACCCTAATAAGTACTGACCATGAATTTTGAATTTTTCATTAATCCAGTTGAGCTTTATGGTGCGACAAATTGATTCAGTGTTTATCTGACACTTTTCAATGTTTTCATTTTTTTCCTTTTTTTTTTTGCAAATTTACCATTGAATTTACACAACGCCTCCATGGACAATCCGACAATCAAAGTAAACAAAAGTTGGGCCGCAAAAATCAAGCTCAGCTGCGGCAAACTTTCGCAGTTGATTTAAATTTTTGCTAACCGAATTTGATTGCTGAAAAGTTGCCGCCTGTGCACAGTGACCACAAAATGTCAACAGCACTTCTCCTCTTTTATGCTGCACTCAAACAAATAGAGTTTAAATGTGCGCCTGAAATGGGGGAAAAAAATGGGAATGGGTTTCTTAATCATTTAAAAAGTTTTTAAAACTTTTTTTTCGAACTAAACTTTTAATTTTGAAAACGAAAGTTGAAATAATTGAATTATAAAATACAATACAAAATTGACAGATCTTAGGTGCTTTGATTTTAATGTCTTATTTTTAATACAAATCGCACGCTTACTCAGAAACGCCTAGAACTTTAGTCGGTGTTTATTTTATTTTTTTGCTACAAAGTTGGTGAACGTAAAGTGCAACTGGAGTTATATAAAACTGCAGATTTGTAACTGCATATTTACAAGGGGTACTCCTTTGCTGAGCCATGGGTCAGATCATGGGCTTTATGAATAAGAATGTGGCGGAGGTGTTTGGCAACCGGCGGAAACGAAAGCGAAGCACGGACTCCATGTTGACCAAGGACGACCAATCCCAGATGGACACCACACAGCCCAAAAGGAAGAAGCTTCTTACCACCACACAGTACATATACAAGACTCTTTTTAAGGAGGAGAAGAACTCTGATGTGACCGTAATGGCCTTGGGCAAAGTCTGGCACCTGCACAAAGTCTACCTGAGCCAGAGTCCCTACTTCTACACCATGTTCAATGGAACGTGGCGCGAGGCGCAGCAGAAATTCATTCCGATCGCGATCCTCGATGACCGGATCACCGTGGCCAGCCTGGATGCCGTATTTGGATCTATGTACTCCGACGAAATCGAGATTGAGTCGGCCGATGTCATATCCGTCTTAGCCACGGCAACGCTGTTCCACTTGGACGGAATCATCGACAAGTGTGCCGAGTTGATGGTCGACAACATCAGTCCGGAGACAGCTAACCAGTACTATGATGCAGCCTGTCAGTACGGTGTAGTTGGAGTCAAGAAGTCCACCTTCCAATGTCTCCAGATCAACCTGCTAAGCATCTATGGCAAGCAGCCGAACCTGCTGAGGCACATCTCAATCGAACTGATGAGTGACCTCACCGCTAGCCCAGATTTGTACGTAATCCAGACGGAGATCTCGCTGTACACACTGCTGCGCAGTTGGATGTTCCTGCGCCTGCATCCCGACTACGATCCCGAGGACCCGATACAGCAGACGGAGGCGGTTAAGATGCAGGAGCGACTTGTCCAAGCCGGCGTGGAAACGCACACGCCCATTGGAGATGTCGTCCAGTGGACGTACTTCACCAGTCGCCTGGAGGAGCGCTCGTTCCTGGCCACGCCCGAGGGGCAGCCGTATGTGAGGGTCTTCCAGAAGCTACGAACACAGTACCTAACCAACCACTACATGGATCTGAAGATTATCCACAATGACAACATCATACCCAAGGAGTGGCTCTATCGGCACATCCACAACCACTGGGATGCCCTACTGCGGATTGATCACGGGCAGGAGGACTACAGTCCCCAGCAGATCGACAACGAGCAGTTCCTTGAGAGCTGCATGCGCTGTGGACGCATGTTGCTCGAGCCTGGCTACCAAAATTGGCGCTGGACGGGCTTTAACTACGGCCTGGATCTCATCCTGATTATGGACTCGCGCCGACTGAACATTCGTCGTCGCCACCAGCACGAGCACGAACGTGTGCTCAGCCTGCAGACGAAGCGCAAGTTAATGGTCCGCATCACGGTGACCTCGATAGACGACCAGCGCCGGGCAGTGTTCACCCAGACGTCCGAGATCTGCTCCCTTAGCCTGGAGAGGAACGAGGAGGTGCCGCTGATGGTCCTTGATCCAAGGCTGGTTCATCCTCTGCTCATCTCCATCAATATGCTGGTGGTGATGCCGCCCAATCAGAGTTTCAAGGAGATTGTTCCACTGTCCATACCCATTTCGGAAATCGATTCGGCTGTCCTTATTGGCCAGGACTCGTTGTAGTTGTAATTGTAAACTCGTTTTTCGCCATCGCGATGGCGATGTTTTCTTAATACATTAAAAAAAAATAGAAAACTCTTAAAAAATACATTTATTCCAAAAATTCGAGGAAATTTCCCATAGTGCATCAGTTACGGCTAATCGAACTGATCTAAACGTTTGTACATTAAACATTAGCATATCGGCGATCGGTTGGTATGCACAGATCTATATTTTTGTATATCGTTTACATCATTAGTATCTTGTAATAGCGCTTAACGTCATCTACTTGTTTAGAGTAGACGCACGTTGTAAATTCGAAGTTTTAAGATTGATTATTATCTTTAACTAAAAAGAAACACTGTAAAGAAATTATGATTTAAGCTTCTTCGAATCCGTCTAGTTCAACGCATGTAATAACTTTCTCTAACACATTTTTTACTCGCTTCAGTACGCACAGTAACAATTACCTTGAGCGATCATTTATTAAAGATTTATTATTTATTAAAGAATTTATTCTAAAAAAAAAACAAAAAAAATAATAATAATTGCAGAAAAGGCAAACGTTTTTTTCGTTAATACGCAATCACTTATAAAGGCTGTCACAGAAGTATGCAGTGAAAAAAATGTCGAATTGGTATTCTGATCTCAAAATATATTGTTGCATAGTTATTGATAGGGTTCCTAACCAGTGATCTCCAATATTTGTCATCCAAAATAATTCGAATATTTTTGATTGTTGCAGAACAAGTTCGGAAGTCAGGATGCGTCGCTCCTCGTTCACGCCCGTCTTCAACCTGAGCACCCAGGAGCCGCTGATCGTGGTGGAGGAGTCGCACACCGCGGAGGATGGCGACGACCTTGAGGGGGCGGCAGGCGGTTGCGATCCGAATGCCGGTGGTACACGGCGCTCGAACAGCGACGACTCGGAGCCGGACTCGCCGGTGAATCCCTACCTGCTCTGCCCCTTCCCCGACATGCAGCAGCGGCGCAAGCACTCGCTGCCCTCGCTCCAAATCACCGAGGGCATCACCGCCAGCCAGGTGCGCCGCCTATCGGAGGTCGGCGGCGAAACCGGCGGCCTCAGTCCCAAGGAGGTCGAGTTCCTGGCCACGCTCTCGCAGAAGGCCAATCCCTCGGCCGGCGGACGACGCCATTCGGTGGTGACCATCTCGGCGGTGCCGCCAACGCTATTCGGACGCAATCGCCGCGAGTCCATTTCCGGCGTATCCTTCAGGTAAGGCACCGCACTCACCATTGACCATTAGCCATCAGTCACCGGAAGTGCGGACCTGCCGCGCAGCAGGACATGCAACCGCAGCCAGGACCGGTTTGTTAGCCCATACACTGCTCAAAAAGAAACAGCACATTCACATTGTTTAGTTTTCAATTGAAAAGAAGCCACAACAACATCTAAACTGCTTTAACTAGCTTGCATTTTGCCCTAAAAAATGCTCTTAAAAATTAAGCTAATTTTCCCTATCATTTATCATGATAAATTTTAGAACCTGCTCATTAACATAATTTACAAGAAACAGTAAATATCTAATTTAAAATTAATTAACAATACAAAAATAGATTTTAATTAGCCAGAAATTATAAAAGTAAGAATTATGTGCAATTACAATTATATATAGCAGACCTTGGAGCGATGTTTCCGTCTTAAGAAACCCCAAGAAATCCTGTTTCGAGTCGGAACTCATATAACCAAGATATCCAGTATATTTCTTTCAGTGCATATATCCCTCCATTTGGATATCTCTTGCCCTTTTCCTATCTGCGACTCTATGTACCGGGCCTAATTGAATTGTGCCGCCGGCTGTTTCCAAGCTTTTGTGCTGTGACAGCAACATTTTGATACCCGAATGGGTGAGGGGCGGAGACGGAAATGGGCGTGGCCAGGACGTGAGCTGGGAATGGGCGGGAATAGCCGGGGGCATAATGAGATTGTCATAAACTGCGCCCGGTCATTGCCATCTTATGAGGCCAAATAATGAGTCTAGCAATCAATGCGGAGTTGCAATAAAATCTCAGGGATTTCGATAAGTTTGATTCACTTTTTTTTGGGACCTTCTCCAACAACGATTTTATTTGCCGCCTATTTATGGATGAAAATATGTTTTATAAAAGTTAATCTAAGAAAAATAAATATAAGGGCATAATTGGAAAAGTTAAAACAAATAAACTATTTCAACTATTACAATTATAAAAGCTATATCAACTAAATTGCAATTTCTAAAATATAATTGTAACTTGTTGACCTCGAAAATAATTTCTAAAATAATATCAACAATATAGTGGCAATAATTTATTAGTATTCTGAATAATTGGGCTTCATTTAAGTTATTTAGAGCATTTTTGGTGCGTTTTTTTTGCCGAAAAGTTAGTGACATCCTGACCACATTCACATCCTGACTTTGCCCAAGTACTGTGTGCCTGCGGTGGCCATTTAAATTGCAGCCCACCCAACTGGCCAACTCCCCCCTCCGATTTCCCCCGTGTCGCGTGTCCATTAAACGCCCAACGCACTTTACGAGTCCAACTTGGCGGCTGAAGATGAGCGACCTCAGGGACGAAATGGCAACGGGGCGTATAATTTATGCTAAAGTGATAACCGCAGACCCATCAACCACTTACTATCGGTGCACACTGATGTGGGGATAGCACAGGCAGTAAAGTAAAAATTGAAACAGCCCGAGCTTAAATGTCAAATCGTTTCGCATTTTTTTTCGTTGTCTAGGCACCTCAAGAAAAGGTAATTTCGGAAGAGGCTAAAAAGAAAATACAAAATAAAGGTACCATGGCGAAAAATAACAATGCAATCTTTTAAAATAAAGCAGGATGTTTAAAAGCACAAAAATAGCTTTAGTTTTTTACACTAAATAAATGAGGACATATATTTTAATGGTATTTTTTTGTGTTTTGCTTAAAAAAAACTTTTGGAAATGCAATTAAAAAATGGAATTTTATATACCTTCATTAAATTATGTGTATGAAGGGGCAACATTCTTATGTGTATGAACGATGTTGCCCCTTTTTACACATAATTAAATGTAACTGTATAAAATTCCATATTTTAATTGCATTTCAGAAAGTAAGTCATTTTTTGAGCACTTTTTTTTAATTTAATTTTTTTAATATACATATTTTTCATTCAAAACTTAAGTTGGAACATTTTTATACAAAATGTATTTAGCATATTTCAACAATTATATTAATAATAAATAGCTTATAATTATTTTTATATTTAAATAGTGGAGCTGTGTTTTATTTTATAAATGAATATTTCCAAGAAATGTCTTTTACAATACAAAACAAAATATAAAAAATGTAAAACATATTTTACTAGTTTCTTGTTATGATAAGAGCCTAAAAGTTTTTTGTTCAACATGGGGACATGTTTTAAGCCGAGTGTTTTAAAATAGACTTTTGGATATTTTAAGAAATCAATTTAATATGAACCTTTTCCCCCCTTTTGCAGTGGCAGTCGCCGGGGCAGCGTCATCGCCGGACCGCCGCTGACCGACCACCGCGGCAGCGTGCACAACTTGCAGCTGGACATCATGGACGGCATTGTGCAGCAGCGGAAGACGCGCAGCGGCAGCGGCGTCTGGACAGCGCCCGTTCTGCAGGAGGCCGACAGCAATGTGCCCGTGCAGACATAAGCGGTTAAAGGACACGCAGGACATCTGGGAGGTGGACAGACGGATGGATGGATGGATGGATGGATGGATGGATGGATGGACGGATGGATGGGCAGTCGAATGGATGGCTGGGATGCGAGCTGAACGGATGGATTGGATGGTGGTAACTGGGCAATACAAACAGACGCCTGGCTACTCCGCCACTCGAACTGCAAATGGACCTTTATAAACATTTCGTGTTTTCCTCACGCACACCCCCCCAACCCCCCACGACCACCACCCACCATCCGATTTTTCGCCGGGAAATTGCTTTTCGTGGCTGCCGCATAAAGCAAACAAACAAACCGCAAAACCGCACGAAAAAATCGCACGAAAAATGATTCTTTTGCCATTTTTCGGCGGGAGCTGAAACAAAAATAAGAAAATACAAAAATAAACAAAAAATTATTAAATTTCGAAAATGAAAAACTGCAGTTAAACAAAGAGCGAGATGGCGAGCTGGTTAAGATTAAAACAATTGGTAGAAAAAGAGGAGAAGTGGAAAAACAAAACGAAATGAAAACATTGAATGAAAAGCAACAGAGAAAAGCGCATCGCGACCATTTTGATTGCCAGCAATTTCCGTTAACACCTGTGCCATGTGCCACGCCCACGAATGTCGCCGGTCCCCTAACGCCCCCAAACCATCTGGATGGATAATTGCAAATAATATTTAATTGAAGTGTTAAACAGGAATGACAAAGGCAAGCAAAGATAGCACAACCTTCGAAACCCTTCCCCAAAATAATGACATTTCCCAAATGGTCAAAAAAGGAACAAATACCCAAAGTAAGTTGTATATCGGTGCACTTTATCTGGTTTTAATTTTCTTTATTTTTTTCAAGTCGAATAATATATATACCGATATCCCAGCTATTTACTAACTTTCAGTTAACATAGCTTTACATTTTTTGTTCCATGTTCAATCAAATATCAAATAAATGCTTTGCCTATTTTTAAAATTTTTTAATAATTATGTTTTTTAAAATTAAGTATTAAATTCATGTCAAGTACATTTAAAAACAAGAAGCAAGTAAATGTCAAATATTTTTAGCTTACCACAATTTGTGCCAAATTTTTGTATAATTTGGTGTAATTTTTTCTCTTTAGCAGGTAGTCCGTTAATTGCAGGTGTATGTTGTACCAACTTTTGGTTTCCCCCTTCTTTTATTTTCGTATTTCTCGCATTTTATTTTTGACATTTGTCAATGGGCTGTGTGCATTTTTAATAATCCCAGTGCCAGGGCAGTTACACATAAAAAACACACACACACACACACACACACACACACACACACAGCACATACATAGCGAAATGCAGCTTTGCCCCAAGGCCACGGGCCAGTGGGTGGTGGGTGGGGAAATGGAGGCCAAGGACGTGGCAGCCCTGACTCCTGCGGCCAACGTGGCGTATGAGTAATATTCTGCAGCAACAGTTGCATCAATGACAATGCCATGACCAAGGAGAGATGGGGTGTGTTTTTAATGGCTTGTCCACTGGACCACCGATTGCCACGCCCCCACTGTCCCGCCCAATAAAGCTAATTTAATGTGAACAAAGGAGGGGAGTGAGGGGGGTGTAGTGGGGGTGGTCGTAAGCTCTTAATTGAAACGCGTGTTAGTTTGCATTCCAACCCACTCAGTCGTCGCCCAGAAACTAATTATAGAAAATCAAAATGCAATTGCGTTCGCCAGCTGAACTGTGTTTAGCTGACTGCCGCCGGCCATTTGGTTGGCAAAACGAGGGAAAACATCAGTTTGTCCTCGCTAAGCGCCATAATCATGTGGGGCAAAATTAATGGCCTCAAATTACCAAATGTCCTTTGGCTGAGTTTGCCCAGTTCCTGACAGATGGCTGGGAATTAATAACGATTAATATCTGCCGGAAAGTTGCTTCCTAGATTTTTGATTCCACGATTTATGGATTCCAGGAATAAAATATGTTGGCTAGGCCAAACGGAATTTAAGAAGAATTTGCATGCTGTTTAAAATGCATGTACAAATGTTAACTATTTTTAGACCAACACAATAAATTAAATCAATAAATTAAGTTAGCTTTACGTTTTTCTTTATCTCACTTTAAAACTACATATATCTTAATAAAACAAATACTTCTCGTTCTCTCAACAGGTTCCATCAGCAACCGATTTAAAACTAAAATACAACTCTATGTTATTAATCTATAATAAAGCATTACAAAAATTAAATCAATATATTGTATATTCAGGAATTGATAAATTAGTGAATAACTAGCGAAAACGAAAAAAAAGCCGACTTAAAAAATAACTATTTACTTAGGACCTAGCTACTCCTCATTTTTTGGACGTTGTGTAGATTTGTGAACCACCGCATGGAAGAAACCACCAAAGAAGATACTAAGATACAATCCCACAGAATATATATCTATAGAGCAGAATCCAACTCGATTAGAAGTGGAAATCCTCAGGTGCTTTTCGATCTAACTTGTTTTTCCATTTGTCAGTTAGCTCTTAATCCCGATTGATTCAATCAACAAGTGCAATCAAAATTCAAGAGAGTTGACAAATGTACCATGTACCTAAAATGAAAAACCCAATATTAAACTTTAAAGCGGAACATAAAAACATGAAAATAAAACCTTAGACTAAGTGAAACGATTTATCGCCCAACCAGAAATAAAACGAATTGGAAAATCAACTATTTTTGAACTGGGCTTGCTGCTTGCCCAGCCCAGCAGGTCAGCCAGCCTTTAGTTCGAGTAGCCATCCCCAAAATCTGAAATCCCAATTGAAACAAATATTTTATATATAACGAAAAAACAAATATGAGAGTTTGGAGATTTCTTCAATTTTATTTTTGTTTTGTGGGGTAACAAAAAGCAAATCAATGAAACCAAATACTTAAAGGTTCCACACAAATATCTATTGATTTCAAATTCCCCGAAATGGTGTATGCAATTGAAATTTTAAATTGCTTATTAAGACGTAATTTATATTATATTTTATATACACAAAAATTGTTTTTGGAAAAAAATGTTTTTACTTCCTATTCAAATTAACTCTTTTTTAAATCTTAAACAAACAATGGAAACAAGTTTATTTGTATTGCAAATCGTATTACAAATTTTAAATTCATAGATATTTTTTCCCCAGCTCAAATTTAGTTACCGAAACTGAGAATGGAAATTCAAATTGAAGAGATCAGCACGCTCTCGATTCGCATGAGTTTTCTTTTATATAAGTCTCGATGTTGTTATTGCTTATAGAGTATAGGGTATATCCTCACATAATAACACTTAGAATGTACATAACAAAATACTCAAATATTAAATTTACTCTTCGCTTTCCTCTGTTCGAAACGGAAACGAGTTTGCGCCTTCTTAGCACTCCGGGAAATTGAAGGAAAATCCCCAAAAATTAAAGGAAAGTGGGGGAAGAACTTAAGAACTCCCAAAAAGAAAAATCCCACTCCTCTATTTTGACCTGAGAAAATGTCGCTGGACGACGAAGAAAACATAAAAAAGAGACGTATGTAAAACCAAACTAGAGAATTTTTTTATTATTAAACATAGTCAAGGATAATCAAGAAGAGGCGATGGAAAGTTGAGCAGAAGCTGGCGAATGATTATGAGAAACAAATGATGTAAAAGATATATTTATAGAAATGAACTATATGTATACATACTGACAGATTGATTATATGATTATATAGTAACTTATTGTCACAACGCAAGAGCAATCAATGTTTAACTTTATTAAATGTTACAAAGAGTTTTAAATATTAAATATACTTAAAGAAATATATATACATATATACCTATATATTGCAGATTATATTCTATACATATAATTTGTAGGTGAAGCTAAGAATAATAAAATACTAGACGTACTCGTAGTTTGCCATTATGTTTGCCAAAAATCGGAAATTAAAGTAAACGAAGTTGTGTCAGCCATTATAGAAATTCCAGGAAAGTTTTTGATGTACAACTCTATTTACTGGAAAGCGTTTGAATAACTCATTAAAATCCATTTGTAAATCTATTGTACCCGCCAAATAATATTCCAGCATGAGTGGTTGTTTCGTGAGCAACTGTCCTAATATTCAACTCATACAATCCATAATAAAATCTTTGGAAAAATTAAAAAAAAATATATATATGTAATTCACAAAAACTTATATAAACAAACTTCGGACTGGCACTCTTCATAATTTTTTTGTTGTTAATATTTATTGAAAAATCGTTATTCTTTTGTGTCTTAGCAATAATAATATACAAAAAATGTGTGTGTCGCTCTGTCTCTGTCTCTATTGTGTTTGAGATTACTCGGATCTTATAATGAATATTATTACTAAACAAATAAAAATGAATAAAGAAAAGTAAGAAGGAAAAATACGGAGGAAAACACAGAACGGAATCCACAACAGAAAGTAAAATTACTAATTAAAAACGATTACATACAGTAGACATAAGAATACAATGATTAAATAAAGAAAAAGATTTCCTTAAATTAACATTGGTGTAACGATTTTTTAAAAGGTTTGGCGGTTTGTCTGTAAAGGGAAAACTAGAGCTTTTAAATATACAATTTGAGCTTTTAATAACTGTATTTATTGGGGCATCATACTTTCACTTATATAAAAATAGTGTAAAATGATGTATTTTAAATGCTGTTTTAAGCTTATATTTGACCAGAATTTTTTTTATTAACGCAGAATGTGTTTGCAATGTACAAACACGCAACTATAAGTCCTAGGAAAACCTCGAGTTTTGAATTAAGACTAGCCCATTTTAGGCGCAATAATAAAATTGTATTATAAAATCGGTTGTAACCTATGCTTACTTTTCTGTTAATTAACAGCCGCTACAGCAGCAGGTAAGTCGCAGCGGTTTGTGTCGCGGCTAAGTCCATTTCATCTTCCCCTGCCTAACCCCAGATGGCGCCAGCGAAAAAGCAGAAACAGGACGCAGGACTTCCGCTCGGCGACCAGTACTTGTAGTCCCCGACAGATGGCACCACCAATAAGGACGCGTGGCGAGGACACAGCATCACAAAGCTGTAAAGGCAGGCTTACTTTTATTCAATTTGAATTGTACTATTTGGCGCGCATTTTGAAAAGAAATATTGCTTGCTATGCGTGTCAAGTTTTTGTGATTATTGCTAAACAAACAGATTAAGATTGAGTTTGCCATAAAATTGAATTAAAATGGCAATTGAAATACAAATTCAAGAATATATAAAATATATCTTTATAATTAAGTAGTAAATAAATCGTAGGATCGTATTGAAAGAAGTTTCGAAAAAGGCGGTGCAACAGGATACCTTCAGGTGGTTTAATTATGATTTAATATCGTATCATATCAGTTAACTTAATTTTATTTACCAGAAGATAAATGGAGCGGACTGAGAAGGCATCGACTTACAAGGAGCGATTGCAGTTGATTTCATCTAAAGCTTTTTTTAAGCTTCTCATTAAAATCAATTTTAAAAATAATCTTAGTAGTATAGTTACGTTCATACAGCATTTCCCATGGGTTATGCAAAAAATTACTTGTCGAAAAAACGTAAATCAGTTAACAGTTAATGTGTCGTGTTGTCAAAGTTTTCCAATTATTAACATGCACATCGCTCCCTTTTATAATTGACCTTATGGAATATCCGTCGGATCCAATTACATTTCCGGAACAGTAGTAAAAAGCCGATTTGCAGATGAACTACACGATAAAGCTATAGAAATCAGATTACAAGTTGATTGTATTTACGTAGTGGAATACAAAAAGAGACTTCAATTTTTTCGTTAAATAAATTTGATTTTTCGTTCTATGAAAGTAATAATAAACAACAAAAGCAAATGAAATATATTAATTGTGTGTATAATTTGTGTAAGCCGTGAAAGTTCCAGTCATTTATTAAGCAGACAAAACGAGCTAAATTGCGATCAAGTGCCCGACCTTGGCGCGCCGCCACTCAAGAACATGCTCAACGGCTGGTTAAACTTTGGATGGTTAATACATTTATTTTGATTATTTTCGGGCGGGTCACGCTTTCGCGCCTGACCCTGGTCTTAAAACGCGCAAAAATCTCTGGATAAATAAATAAGAACTGCACGCTTTTAAGCGTTTATGCATGAAAAGTTGTTTTGCTTTTTCCGATTTGCCAATGGTTTTCTCTGTGGCATATCCCCTTTCACTGCGGAATATCTAAATAAAAATGTTTTTATTTTCGGAACGGGAATGGGGGGAGGTACTCTACATTTTTCATTAAGACACACTGGCGATAACAAAGTTTCTTTATTATCCGTAACGTTCGGTAATGTCTCCGAAAGCGATCTGGATCGCCTGAAAATGCATTTCCTCGGTATATACATATATATATGCGATATCTTTCTACTTGGGCCACCTGATAGGCGAAACAGCTTTCCTCCGCCGAAAGCCTCAAATTGTCCGATTCCCCTTCCAAGAATGCGGAACCCCAGAAGGCAGGGAAAAGTTTTTAAGAGCCGAAACAGCTGTTCATTTGCTGACTGACTTGCCGGCAATTACTGCGATTTTCCGCAGAGTGAGGCGGAAAAAGGGGTACACAAAATAGTTAAGATACACTCTAAAAGTGAATACAAATTCCCGAATAGTCTACGCTTTCGTTAGGGTGAATTAAATTGTAGTTAAACAAGAAAATTGATTGAGTTTTTGATGGAGATTTCATTGAGATAAAAACAGGCGTTAAATTGATCGAAAAAAACATTAAAACTTATCATTCAGAGAATTGTTAAGTGGCGTTTTTAAAATATATTTTTGAATAGAGCAAAAACAAAATTTTAAATTATATAAACTATCAACGATTTGGATCATAAAATCACAGTCAAACACTAACTAATTTATTTAATTAATATTACATAATTAATAATACAAACCGAGTATTTTTTGTTTATTTTTTTGAATACATTTTTTATTCGAGGACAGCAGCAACCTGTTGAAGAGCCTTGCAACCGGCGGCCGCAACTCGATCCGCGCTTGCCACAAGCACGGCCTGCTGTCCAACATGTTGCACGTGGCAAGCAGCGGGCAATTGTTTACTCAATATTCTCGACATGCCGCAGATTTCGCCTCCAGCAGAAAGAGAAAATAAACATGGGCCTCCTGAAAAGATATCATTTGTCGGGCGACAACCGCGATATGTATACACATGTGTGTGCACTACGAGTCAGCGGCTTAAGTAGCTGCTCTAAATAATAAATTCAATTGTAATCAGAATCGTTTATGTAAATATTCAAATCGTCAATTTACCCGGGGAGACGAGGAATTGTCCTCCAATAATCCGCGAGTCGGCGAAAGTGAGGGCGATTTGGAGATCGTGGGGCAGATGCAGATAAGCACCCCATTAAGACAACAATAAACTCAACAAGTTGTTCTGGAAAACTGTCAATTAGATCCACGCACTGTGGCAGCAACAATTGCCGACCGAATAAAAACACAACATGCAACATGTTGCACGTGTGGAGCTCGCTTGAATAAGCCTCTAAAATTATGTTTTACCAAGGGCATAGAGGGGGTCGAAAAATTTATTTCATAATTTTTAGTCCCTGCATTTTGAGAATTTATAAAAAAAAATACAACGAATTTCATATTTGGCTCATATATACAAGGGTGGTCAAAAGTATTTGCACAAATTACACGTACTTACTCTGTATATTCGTCTTAAATATAATTGTCTTAAAAAAAATTAAACAAATAATAAGCTAATTTTTATAACTTTATATAGGCTACCAGATAGTTGAAAAATTTCGATTCAAAGTTTCGGTCCAGTCAATAAAATATAAACTTAATACAAAATAAATTTAATATATAAATGTTAAGTACATTCCATAAGTACATTACATTAAAAGTTAATAACAACATTTATTTTTCATAAATCTGTGAACAATTTAAATATAAATTTAGTCTATTGTATTACAATGTTGTATATGTTCTTTCGCTTATCTTATCTTATATTTTTAAGCTGAGCCCT